ACTCCCTCCGTCCCAAAATTCTTGTCTTAGATTTGTCCAAATACAGATGTATCTAGTTACGTTTTAGTGTTAGATACATTCATACCTAGACAAATCTAAGACAAGAATTTTGGGACGGAGGGAGTGACTATTGACAGGAGTAGACGCCGAAAGGGCAGCTCCGGATTGAATCGTGGATCACGGCGGGAGTCATGGAGACAGACAGCAGTATTAGGAGACAAGGACCGGGTTTCGTTGTGTTCATCCATCGAAATGATACTGTAAGCACTAGTAGAGTATAATATTCGAACCCCGCCATCATCTCTTTGATCCACCAATTCGCTACTGGCAAATCCGTTGCAGCTTTTGATAGTTGTTTGTACTGGGCTGACCACATGGATGCATGTGCATGTTACTGTGGATTCGCATGTGATCTGGTTCTGGTGGATGGATACACAGAGCAGAGGTCATGGCCAGGTTTAGGTATATCCGTCCAGGTCAAACCATGTGCATGCTGCAGAGTACAGGCATATGAAGGCTACATCACGTACCAGTGTTCGCTCAAAAAAGGAAAAAAAAATGATAATGTACAGCTATACACAAACCAAAGTTGATATCTAAACTAGGTCTCAATTTCTCTTTTTATCCCTAAAACTAAGCGGGTTTCAGAACACTAGTCAGAGCTAGTGTCATCCCAAACTTCATAACCGGTCGAATCAAGAATTCTAGATGGCATCCGTGTGCTATTATTTTCATCTTTTTGGCCCGTAAATCGTAATTGCATCCATGTCCTTGCTACGGGACTTCGAGTGAGCCCGCGACAAAGGGCCTGTTTGGATCATGGGGTTAGAGCTAGTTTGGGGTTAGTTTGGGGCTCAAATAACCCAAAAGTATTTAAATAGAGAGGGTTAGAGTGGGTTAGTTCCATCTAACCCGACTATCCCGATGAAGAGGTGCTTATTTAGGTTAGAGTGGGTTAGAAAATAATTCTAACTCTAACTGTGTTAGAGTATCCAAACAGAACCAAAGATGTAGGTAATAATGATATGCTGCTAAACGTGGCATGGGTACTGATCCCGGTGGGTACGTGATGGATAGACGCTGACAGAGGCTAAGGTATATCCATGATGGAGAGGGAGGCCATCCCCACCCAGGTCAAATATGCCATGTGCAAGCAAGCAAGCATGCTAAAAAGGATAGGAGTGCGTGCCAGGTAGGGTACTAGTGTCTGGCCACAAGAGGTCAACGTACAACGGTATCCACCGCACGCCATTAACGGCCACGGCCAACGGACGACCCTAAAGCTGTAGTGCACTGCAGTCTAAATTATCTGCTGGCGGAGCAGGAGCATTTCAGATAAATGTTCAAAAAAAAAAGAAGAAGGAAAAACTTGCTACGCATAGATAAGCGTCTGGATGAACAGCCCGGCCGGGGAAAGAGACAGGCAGCTCCCAACCGAATCGTGGATCACGGCGGGAGTCACGCAGAGAGACAGGCGGACATCCAGTAGACAAGGATCGGGTTTTGTTACTCAGTAGTCTATCCAGTTCCAATGATAACCGGAATTAGGCTTTGATTGATGGGTATGCGTACTCACCCAACAATTTCAATGCGTGCATGTGCATGTTACTGTCCGTCCATCAGCATGTGATCCCATGGATGGATGGATACACAGAGGTCATTGGTCATTGGTCAGGTGAAACCATGTGCGTGCTTCAGAGTGCAGCAACAAGTGCCAGCGATTGCTCAAAATTGGAAAAAGGATAAGGTGCAGCAAATCGGCTCATCCGCCGAGGTCCAACCATGTTTGTCTTCTCGGCAGAGGAGCAACGTTTAGCGGCACACGCCCCCAAGCAATTTTTTTTAAAATTTTGCGGTTGAAAAAAACCGACCCCAAATTAAACTACTGCCACGCCGACAAAATCATACTCCCTCCGTTCCAAAATATAATGCACCTGCGCTTTTTAAGGTCGAACTTTGACCATAAATTTAACGAACGAGACCGACTGCGGCGGGAAAAAAAATTACATAATTAAAAACTTCTTTCGAATACGAATTCATTAATATAAATTTTGCTCCCGCCGCAATCGGTCTTGATAGTTAAATTTACGGTCAAAGTTAAAGCACGAGGATAGAGGAAGCACTACATTGTAGAATGGAGGGAGTACCTGAATTCAAAACCGACTGAGCGTCCACGCATTTTGTCCCCGCGCATCTGCTTGAGTCGAAACATACAAAAATCATGGCCCAACGCGTCGACACAAACGGACAGCCGTCCGTCCTTCCTCCGCCCGCAACCATTTCCGGCCCAAATATGTGCCGAGTTTGCGTCGGCGCAGACGCACGAGATGCCCGCCCTTGTCTTCCCCTTGACCCGCCCGTCAGTGGCACAACGTCCATTCTTCTCTCCCACCTCCACAGTCAACACCTCCGGTCACGTCGCCATCGCTACCGCTTTCCACTTTCGGCCGCTTGTACGCTGCCCCTGCATCCACACACTTCCCCCACTTCGACACCGCATCTGATGCCCACTCTTGCCGGCGTTGGCGGCCTCTTTTCGCCACCGTCATAGCACCTACACAGCCACGCCACCCAAACGCCTTCACCACGTCCTTCCTAGCTCCAATCCCGCCATCCTAGATCCATAGTCGTCTCCACTTTGAAAAGCCTGCTGCCTGTACTGGAGAGAGGCGTGAGTCTCTTCCTGTCGGGTTCTCCATCATGCACGCAAGGTGTTCGACATTTCGCCCGCAAGGTACCATGAATAATGGGGATGAGTTCTTTTTAAATAACTTCATGTGTTGATCAGATGATTCATCGTTGGGCGGTGAGGATCTTGTGGTTGCGACTATGGTCACTAGTGACCACATTGCTAGGCAGTGGTTTACGGAATTGATCCCGGGACATATGCTCTAGAGTTGAATCGTAACAGAGAGACCGACCATTGGCTACTCTTCGTCGATTACTTTCAGCGCATGTCCCCACTCTTCAATCCCAAGCTTTTTCGGCGCAACTTCCGTATGACTAGACATGTGTTCAACTGTATTCAGGAGGGAGTGATGCAGTATGCTGATTATTTCGTATGCAAGGAGGATACCCTTGGAAAACTTGGCCTCTCCTCTTATCATAAATGCAATGCAGCTATTCGGATGCATGCATACGGAATTCCTGGTGATCTTGTTGATGAGTATGTCCGCATGAGCGAGTCCACATGCCTTGCATCGTTGTAAAAGGTCTACAAGGTTGTCATAGTAGTGTTTGGCCCGGAGTACCCGAGAGAGGCAAATGGTGTGGATATAACTCGATTGTTGGCGATCAATGTAGATAGGGCCTTTTCGGGGAATGCTTGGTAGTATAGACTGTATGCACTGGGCGTGAAATAACTGTCCATCTCCTTGTCAGGGGCAATATAAGGGGCATTCAAAGGGTGCACTGCCATGCTTGAAAGTGTGGTTTCATAAGATCTCTGGATTTTGCACTCTTTTTTTTAGCATAGCAGGTTCTCACAATGACATCAATGTGCTTCAGCGCTATCCAATGTTCAAAAGGCTTGCAGAAAATAACTGCCCAACGGTCAACTTTGAGATCAACGACCACCACTACAACAAGGCATACTACCTAGATAATGGTACCTATCCTTAGTGGTCAACTCTTTTGAAGACAATCTTCACTTTGGTAGGAGAGAAGAGGGCTAGGTTTACTCAAGCACAAGGGAGTGCTAGGAAAGGGACATGGAGCGTGTATTTGGCGTGCTTTAGTCTCAATGGACCATCGTTCAATATCCTGCTAGAACTTGGGCCATCGTTCGGCCATCGTCCGCTGCTGCTTCTTTACAATGCGGGTGCGGATGGCTTACTCCTCTGCGGCAGCGCGCACCACCGCATTACCCGCCTCCGCCTCCGCCTCCGCCGCCGCTATGTTGGCAGCGAGCGGGCCTCAGCCACCCTCATCCTCTCCTTCCCATGGCGGGCATACCAGTGCCGGTAGCACTCATACTCCGATGGACTGGCGATGGAGAAAGGGAGATTGAAAGGCTCCCTGGAGGATTCGAGCGCCAGATGCGCTGGTGTAATGGACTCGCGTCAAACATACCGCGTCGTTGGTCGGTTGCAGTGCAATGGGGACGACCATTGCCTCCCCCAACTTGCACGGGACGACACCCCAGTTGACAGATCCAGACTGATCGGGGTTATATCCGTTGCCCGCCACGTCGCAGATCGCCGGACAAGAGCTTGGGTGACGGAGTGGAGTGAAGTGGGTAGGGCTTTGGTCCAAGGAGCGAATGGGAACGTGTATATGTGGGGTCGGGTAGGCCAGCATTGGCCGGATGCGATGTGGCGGATATGCCCGGGTCTTCCCTAGATCCGCCCCATATTTGGGCTATGAATGGTGCCGGTCAACCCGGGTGTTTGAGGCACCCGTCCGAGTCGGTTTTTTATCGGTCATCTACCGGGAGGGGAGGGGGTTGAGGCGCTTGTTGTAGACGCTCTTATGTGATCTCCAATTCCATCCAATCCATGGGGTGTGCTTGGGGGGAATTTTGGGTGTGATTTCCTCCCTCCCTCATGCTACACATGACATGCTGATAGATATGTTAGGCAAGCATTGAAGATGGATGGTGTGGGGCCCACGCGCAGGCAGGCGATGCATCGCGACGCGTCTCGGCCCATCCATCCCCCACACCGTCAGCGTCGACACAGCTGTTGCCCGTTGGGGTTGGGGTTGGGGTTGGGGTTGGGGTTGGGTTGATGCTTTCCCTCAAAACCCTCCCAAACCCCCCATCCCCACCCACATTTTCATTCATTCTCTCCCCCCGCACGCCACGCCTCCCATCCCCTCCGACACAAATAGCCAGAGAGAGAGAGAGAGAAACGGCCGCCGGGGGCAGCCAGCGAGCGAGCAGTGCGGAAAAAAGGGGCAAAAGAAAAGGGAATCCCAAGAATCAGCCGGCGCCAGTGTCTGTGGACTGGACCGGACTCCACCTCCACCGGGGAGAGCGAGAGGCGCAAGGAGGCAAGGAAATGGCCTGCCCGGCGGCGGCGCTGCTCCTGCCGCTCCTGCTCGGCTTCCTGGCGCCGGCGCGGGCCACCGACCCCTACGCCTTCTTCGACTGGGACGTCTCCTACGTCACCAGATCCCCGCTCGGCGTCCCGCAGAAGGTCCGTCACTTCCCCCCTCCCTCCCTCCCTCCGTCTTCTCCTATTTCCAATCCGACCACTCGCCGCCGCCTGCCGCCACCGCCGCGTGCTCCGAGAGAGCGCAGCGAACCGCCCCCCTCCCTCCGCCGCAAGATTTGTTTGGGTTTCCGCGCGCGGGCCGTCCGCTTGCCCCCCCTGCCCGCCGTCAAGATTCAGTTTTTTCCCCCATTTCATGCGTCCCTCGGGATGCCGTCCGCGCCTCCGCTCCCTCCCTCCTTCCTTCGAGGGGAAGGAGATGCTGCTACCACTCTAGTAGATTTCCGCAAGGATACCATGCCGCCCTTCGATTCCAGGATTCCCCGGCCCGACGCACCCAAAAGTTTTGAATTTTTTGCCCCTCCCGCTCCCCAACTTCAAAAGTTTCGATTCATTTCCATGCCGGCCACCTCCAAAAGCCCAGATCCCCCTCCCGCTCCCCGGCGCACTGTTCCCGTGCGCCTCCCGACAGAGATCTGACCTCGCGGCGCCCCTTTTTAATTGACCGCCTGAACCTGAACCTGAACAACCGGTTGTGTGTGTTTCTGTTTCTGAATTTTTCGCTTTGATTCAGGTGATCGCGATCAACAAGGAGTTCCCGGGCCCCGTCGTCAACGTCACCACAAACTACAACGTCGCCGTCAACGTCCTCAACAGCCTCGACGAGCCGCTCTTAATCACCTGGTCTGCTCACTCCCCACTCCCACCACCATCCAATCTTCAGTCATGTCACTGCTCTTGCAGGCTTCAGTTACAGTGTCATGGGTTCAGTCTTCAGTGTGATGACAGGCAGGCCTTGCTCTGATTTTTTGATTCATTCCAGGGACGGCATCCAGCAGCGGAAGAACTGCTGGCAGGACGGCGTGCTGGGCACCAACTGCCCCATCCCGCCGGGCTGGAACTGGACCTACAACTTCCAGGTCAAGGACCAGATCGGCAGCTTCTTCTACTTCCCGCCGCTCTCCATGCAGCGCGCCGCGGGCGGCTTCGGTGGCATCACCGTCAACAACCGCGCCGTCATCTCCGTTCCCTTCGACACCCCCGACGGCGACATCAGGCTCTTCATCGGCGACTGGTACAAGAAGAACCACACGGTACGCTAGGCCGCCCCCGGGAACGAAATGTATTATCATCCACAAACTGGGTTTGCAGCGAGGGTGTTTGATTGTGGTTTTCTCTCGTGTTATAGGACCTCAGGAAGATGCTCGATGACGGGAAGGAGCTCGGGATGCCTGACGGTGTTCTGATGAACGGCAAGGGGCCGTATCGGTACAATGACTCCCTTGTCCCCGCTGGGATCGAGTACGAGACCATCGATGTTGAGCCAGGTAGGGTGATTGCTTGTCTCACTTTCATCATAATAGGCTGCATTACTAGTATTGAATTCCTTGTGACTTTTGTGGGTATGGTATAAAAATAAAACAATCATGGTTCCAAGTGCTGTTGCTGCAAATACTTGAAATGTTATACTGTTCAACTCTGCAAAAAGTCTCTGATATGGTGGGGGCGTAAAGTTGATGATTAATTACTACCTTCATGACAAGGCCAGTACAAATTCTTTGAACAATGATTACTGCAGTGTAGTACGTTACCGCTATTGTGGAAACTAACAGCCTCAGCTCCATGACAGGCAAAACGTACCGCTTCAGAGTCCACAACGTGGGCATCTCCACCAGCTTGAACCTGAGGATCCAGGGCCACAACATGGCCATGGTCGAGACAGAGGGCTCCTATACGATGAAGCAGAATTTCACCAACCTCGACATCCACGTGGGGCAGTCCTACTCCTTTCTGGTCACCATGGACCAGAATGCAAGCAGCGACTATTACATCGTGGCCAGCGCTCGGTTCGTGAACGAGTCGCTCTGGACCAGGGTCACTGGCGTTGCAATTCTGCACTACTCGAATTCAAAGGGCAAGGCGTCTGGTCCACTCCCTGATCCGCCGAATGATGAGTACGACAAAACCTTCTCCATGAACCAGGCACGGTCAATCAGGTTTGTATAAAATGACTCCTTTTTTTGCCTATGCTCTGACCATCCAAACTATCACTATCTTAATGTTCTCTTCACTCAATCCTGATATTACTTTTACAAGCATGATGTTTGAAATGGTTGACCCATCATGTGCTAACTGTTTTATAATAATGACAGCGCTCTCCCATCATGTGCTATGATGCTTACTTTATGAAAACAGTGTTTTGCTACACCTAACTAAACTTAAGCAGCAATCTTGTATGATTTAATTGACTTTCCCTCAACTTTCAACCGCATTTGGCTATCTCACAAATTTATTTTATGCACATCTGGTCTGACCTTTGATCTTCAAGAGACATTGACTAAATATGCTTGGCTCTACATATTCTGAATGGGAAAAATAAGCGGGTTCTTATAAAAGAGCCAATACACACACATTAAGGCATTTCAAACCAAGCATAAAATTGAGCAATCTATGACTTTTTTTTTTACCTAAGCTGTGACCATACTAATAGCCTGGTGTTAGGAATTGCTGCCATCATGTGCTGACTGTTTAATAATAATAATCGTGTTCATCAGTACCCATCATGTGCTATGATGTTTACTTTATGAAAAAAATAGTGTTTTACTATACCTAACTAAACTTAAGCATTACTCTTGTATGGAATAAATAATCTAGCTCTGATTTACTCGTTCTCCCCTTAACTTTCCATGGTCTTTTGGCTATCGCAAAAAATCATTTATGAACCTTTTCATTTGATGTTGATCTTTAAGAGATGTTGACTAAGTATGCTTGGCTTTACGAATTCTGAGAGAAAAAGATGTGTTGGATATAAATATAATAGGCGCTTCCTTTCTTACATAATGATTGTGTGCTCATATGAGAAATTGTCTGCTGAAATATTTGCCCTTGTACTTGAGCATTCATTCTGGGAATATTTCTTACAGAAATTGGAAACTGTAAATTTTTGTCATACCAACACAATGACTTTTAGAAAGCTTTGTGGTCATTAGTAAAGTGTAAGGGCACCTGGTAATATTTGTAGACAGCAGCTACATTTTCTCATATGTGCAGCGCACATTGGTCATTGATAATGTATCCATAGTTGCATACATACTTAGCCTACTAAAATACCTTCTGTTTGTCAGGATGAACGTGACCACTGGTGCTGCTCGCCCGAATCCTCAAGGATCATTTCACTATGGCCAAATCAACGTGACCCAAGTGTACAAGCTGAGGAACATGCCACCTGTTACCATCAATGGCAAAAAGCGGACTACGCTGAATGGCATCTCTTACTCCCCGCCTGCTACTCCATTGAGGCTTGCGGATCTCTATGACAAGAAAGAAGTCTACACACTCGACTTCCCAACCATGCCGTCTGATGGACCGCCGGTTATCGGGTCTTCTGTCATCAACTCGACGTACAAGAACTTCATGGAGATTGTGTTTCAGAACAACGACACAAAGGTTCAGACCTACCACATCGACGGATACGCCTTCTGGGTCGTAGGGTTAGCACAGCTTGAAACTATTCATCTCTTTCAGTAACTGGTTTCTAAGGGTCCTGCATGCTGATTTTTTTTTGCACGTTGCCAACAGAATGGACTACGGTGAGTGGACCGACAACAGCCGTGGGACATACAACAAGTGGGATGGTGTTTCCCGTTGCACCACTCAGGTATGCACCTGTACAGTATCATCTGACTAAATCATTTCTTTGTGTGCAAAGTTCTGTCATGTTGGAGCATGCTTTCATTTATGATGTTCATAATACCTGTATATCCTGTATGTTACTTTTACTCGAAGAAGAGCCTTATGCAGACAATATTCGCTGGAGGATAACACCGTCTCACTCACACTGCAGGTGTTTCCCGGAGCATGGACCGCCGTCTTGTTGTCGCTCGACAGCCCGGGGTTCTGGAACGTGCGCACGGAGAACCTGGACACGTGGTACCTCGGCCAGGAGACGTACATCAGGGTGGTGGATCCTGACGGAGGCTACAACGTGACCGAGTCGGTGTTGCCGGACAACGCCCTCTTCTGTGGCCTCCTCAGGGAAAAGCAGAAGTAAGCTAGTACTGCTTGCCTGCGCGCTGTAGATTATGGATGTCCTTCTTACAATATGGTCACAGACTCGCAGTTACTAACTTGTGCTTTGGCTGTGCTGTCTTGTAGGGCTCAGAAGCCGCACGGGTCGTTGTCGAGCTCGGCGTCCCCTGCGCTAAAACAGAGTGGCTACCTGCTGCCATTCTTGGTGTCGCTGGTCGCGTTGTTGGTCATGGGACACTGAACTGAAGTGATTGCCAGTTAGTGGTGCGTGCTAGATCTGCGGTTTGTGAGTTAGGAAATTGAGAATGTAGGTTCTCCACCATCGATTGGGTGGGGAGGTCCTGCCATTGTTGCGTATCGGCGAATTCGTCGAAACTGTTAACAGAGTTGTGTGCAAGCATTGTTTGTGTGTGTTACTTGCTGCTGCCTGTGGCCCCGCAATTAGGGGCGCTGTGCCGCCTTTGAGGATGATGATTTTTAGCTAGCCCTGCCCTGCCCCTGTGAAAGAAGACTTGGATACTGGTTTGTTGCCGTGTCAGCTGTGATTCGCAAGAGCATTGTTTACCTTTTATGGTCTGCTGACCATTCTTAAGGTGGAAAGCTATTGATGGACCTGTCGAATCGCAGCCGTTCATCCTGAAGGGAGGGAGGGACGGCTGTGATTTCGTCGGTAAGCTGAGGGTGCCAACCTTAGCAGCGAGCAAGAGAGGCAGAGTTGATGGTGAATGAGATGGCTTTCAACTTTCACTCTGATTCTCCGTGCCAGGTGTGACTGCAAATGGCCATTTGGAACCTTTGAAACCATCTGTGGATTTCCAGGTGCAAAGGTTTTGCTGAATCTGTGGGGGTAAAAAAGCTGTCTGAAACAAACTAGCCTAGGTGGACAGCGTAGCGTAGGGTGGTGCGGTCGACACAAGTAGTTACCGCAGCTGTTGAATCATCATCATCATCATCAGATCACGCGGTTTATGATGATGATTAGCACAAAGCCAGAACTTTCCTCCAGTTTAGCAGGGAAAATTCATGGAGGACTGACCACCAAGCACCGTCAAAAGGCGTGTTCAGTTAACTCTCATGATGCGATTAAGCGATCTGTAGCTGTAGGAGTAAGTAAGCAAGATATGGAGGAGCTTGATGGAGAAGCTAGCGTTGACATGGAGATCCTCTTTCCGCGGATACGCCGAATGCTTTGCGCGTCATTACACGCTTAATTAACAGTACTAGTTGACATGATCTTGAGCGCCAACATGATTTGGCAGCGGGAGGGCCCCTCGATGGCAAGTTTTTGTATTTCTTGACTAGTTTCACACCCCCTTTTTGGACTGACTGCAATTGCGGTCTCTTCTCGGACCATTCTCTGTTTGTCTCATCGCCACAAGAGCCTTGTTGCAGTTGTAACAAGACCCTTGTTGCTAATGATGCCGTCGCCACTGCAACAGTGCCCTTGTTGCTGGATCTGCTTGTATCTGCAGCTTTTGCAATAAGACTTTTGTTGCAAAAAGGATATCCGCTCGTGGATCTAAGACCGGGAGGCTGCCGCCGTCGCTGCTAATTACAAGCCAATTCGCCCGGGCTCTTGTCCCGAGTGCCACCAACCTCCATCGCCCATCGCGTCGGCTAGCGAGCTCGCCGGAGCAGCACGCCGCCATGCCCTTCTCCTTCCTCCCCTCTTTCTTATTCTCCTCTCAATCTTCCTCTCGCACCTCTGCAGATCTCTGAACCCCCCCTCTCCTTGAGTTCACTGTTGCGGCAGACCATGGCGCCGCCGCAGGCAACCGCCCTATCCATTGGCCATTCCGCAACAGACTTGTTGCGTTCGAAGGGATTGCAACAAGGATCACGTTGCAAAAGCTATCCAATAAAGCGGGTTACTACGAGCCGTCCGATGAAAGGCAGATCTAACGATCGCGGAGGCGGAGGATGGAGCGTGAAAATTAGTCAGTTGAGTTGAAGCATTTTTATAAATTTATGGGGGTTTTCATGTGTAGTACAACTTTTGCAGATTCTCAATAAATCATTCCCAAGAACTCATTTTACTCCATTTCTCTATGTATTTGTGCAAACACTATGAACACTTAATTTTCACGTCATCTAATTAAAAACATCATGTTAGTACTTTCAACAAAAAATACTTCAGTTCAAATCCTCATTTTTAGAGTTCAAACTGTGAAGAAATTCAAAATCAAACATACATTTCAAATCAAACATAGGGCATCACTCATTCTCATTTCCGCTCCCACTCGCACTCCCACTCGATGCTGGAATTTGCGCTTTCATCAGTTCTAGACACTCCACTTTTTTTTTTACATCAAGTCCAATGTGGTTCATGAACATGATCCTGAATTCTTACTCTGTCTTCTTCAAATTCACTTCATCTGAAGGACTCTTAGCTTTTATTCTTCAATTGTTGCCTTGTGCTCCTCACATGCCACCTTGCACTCCTCCATATGACATATCCTTGATCCCCAACCTAGTGATACGTCCATTTTACATCATGGCCCTAAACGCCTCAGGATGTTGATAGCGTGCGTCGTGATCGTGGTGAGGATGATGTTGTAACTCAGGGTCGCGAACACCATGGCTCCATCCTTCTCCTGGATGGTGATCACCTTGTTGACCGCTCGTCCACAAAATTTTAGTGCCTGAGCATGGTGCTAGACCTCCTGGAGACGACTGAGCTAGGCCTTCTGCAGGTTGATGTGCTCCTGCTTAGAAACTAGGCAGAGCCGGACTGCCTTGAGCTTCCGAAGCATCATGGGTGCTTGCTCTCACGTAAGAGTGGTTGGGTATCCCCCAAGTGTAAGGGTGATGTAACCTAGTGATACGTCCATTTTGCATCATTATTTTCTACTGTAATTTATCCTATGTCAATGATATATTTCACAATATGATGCAATTATAATGCCTTTTCGCTTTTAAAATGCAAGGAATAAAAAAAATAGGAGGATTGCTGGACAGCTGGAATTCTAGACCTAAAATGCAACAGAAGAAAAAACAATTCTCCGAAGCTCAAAACGTAGTGTGGATTTTTGGAGAATTATTTTGGAATATACAATGATTTATGGAGCAAAGAAGTACTAGAGGGGACCCACTAGTCCCCCACATGGCCTGATGGCGCGGCCACTCCCTGGGCGCACCACCCGGACATGTGGGCCCTACCAGCCCCACACGACTTCGAGGATATGTGTGAGATCTTTGATATTTGGGATTAGATGGGTGGGTCAAAAAATTTGACTTCTTCTAGATACTCCTGGATCAGATCTGACATCGAGTCCTGGAGAACGGGCTCCTACTACTCCTAGATCCCGCGTGACGCCAAACCATCACTACAAGAAATCTGTTAATACATGACGGATCTAATCCGTCACAGAGAAGTGAAAAACTGTCATGGGTACCCATTCTTGACGAATTTGAAATCCGTCATGTATATCGCGTCATAATTTGACATTGTGCCTTCCATGACGGCTCTTGGCCGTCATGGATGTGCCCCAGGCCCGCCCAAGCCCAAACCATTGTGACAAAACAATCCGTCATGGACTAAGCCACGTAGGAGTTTTGATCAACTAAATCAAATGATGTGGCTGCCTACGTGGATAACATTTTTCATCAGAAAAATCATCATTGATTTAGGCAGAATTTAAATTTTATTGAGCGCAGTAGACCATTTCTGTTGGCCAAATTTTGACCCAATATGTTTTTAGCATAATGTGTTACATAAATCCAAATGCCAATTTTGGCAAGAAAAAGTATTTACAAAGTATCAAAGATTACACAGTTCATCGAGTATGCATCCACCAGTATTTATCTACAACATAGCAGTTTACAAAATCCTCTATGAAATGTTAGCTTATAGCAAAGATTGACAACACACAACAAGTTTAGAAACCAGGAACCAGTACAATCCATTTTACATCAACATAACATATATTGAGGCTGTTATTAAGGTTCTTGTCGTCGTCCTTCTTGATGGCAACCATCATGTTGTGGCTGATTGTGATGGGCAGCACCAATCTTACCTAGCATATTACAAGAACATTAGATATTTGTAGATATTGACAGATAGTAGAAATAAGAGAATTAAAACAAATATAAAAATGAATTACATATTGTCCAAAATTCTTAAAACTGTTAATGCCTACAAATGAGAATAACATTATATCTATTATAAAACAAGAGTAAACTTGAGGATAGACAGAAACACATTTCTGTCATAAAACCATTGATTTAATTATCCACTTCTGTGCATAACGATTCTATATGTCAACCCACTTGACCAACATAGTACTATTATTTATAATAGGAAACAATAATGAAAGGAACCAGTATACATGTATACAAGACAACAATAGGAACAATGCTTGCGCATGCATAGCCAACCTCATCAACTTGCACAACTACAAATTTAGTCCAAATCAGAACACATGAAGAACAGGTGATGGCCGATGTAGTAGTGTATCGAAGCAATGCAAGGTTATTAAGGTACAAGCCGAAGTCTTAAGTCCCTTTTTCTCATTGGTTAATGTTGTACAGATTGCATTTTAGATATGCTCAATCTAGGGGAACCAAAAAGGCATCTCCATGAAACAAAAAGTATTGCTTAACTATAAAATACTACCACATATTGTCCACCAATTTCATATTTAACATCTGCAGTACAAATCAGAAGCATCTTTATTTTTCTTGTGATCTTAATTAGTGTATGCAAGCTTGAACTACTACACGCATATACATAATAGTAAGAAATCACCTTAGTCTATGCACGGTAGAATACTTCATGCACAAAATTAATTAAGTAGGATGGGGGATCTCGGGGGACTTGCATGAACACCATGCAGTAGCAATCACTAAGTTGTTCTGACGGAATTGAATAAGGCCTGATTTTTTTATGTGATCAAACATCTCAGCAAACATGTGAAAGGCACACATACAGTAGGAAGGTTTCAGTTGTGCATCAAGAAATCAGGGAAAGAGAGTCAAGTCATAGTGAAATCAAGGACATAAGCGAGAAGATAAAGTGGACTGTTTTTATATAAAATCAAGGTCTAGAAATGTACATAGATATTCAGTGGTGAAAGTTGTGAAGACCATACTTATTTTTCATATACATTTATAAAATGAAGACCATACTTAGTTGTCAAGCAAATTGTTTCTCACAACGTTTACTGCAAATTTGCATAACACAACACTTGCTTGAAGACATTGCATAGTTCATATAAAGAATTATGAAACGTGTGTTAAGAG